CCCGCCGTCGTGCCTGCCCTGGGTCCTGTGCCGGGACCGCCGGCGGGTTTGGACCGGTTCTAGCTGAAGGGAAAGTTTTCTCCGCTCTGGGTAGGGGGAGAGTAAGCGGTGATTTCCCCCCCCCCCCGCGACTTTCTGAGCGAAGAGCTCCCGAGCTCCCATCTTTTCCTCGCGTGGCCCCCGGGCCTTGCGGGGGTCCCTCCCCCCTTCCCCCTGCATTTCAGAAGCGTTTAATGACCATTGTAAGAAAGGCTGATCGGAGAGAGGCTTGAAATATCCAGATCGTGCTTCACTTGCAGGTTGGCTTGTTTTTCTCCTTTTTCATGTTCTGATACTGGTAATTGAGGGGTCGGCTTTTTTTGAGTTCGTAAAGCAGAAAAACAGTTCTAGATACAGAAAGAAAGAAACCCAGTGCCTCATTAGCATTTTTTTCCCCCTCTTAAGAGAACAATACAGGCTCACTGTAAGCTTGCCCAAACATGGGCTGACTTTTATTACATATTGGTACGATGCCTAGTGCAATAGGGTCCTCTTGACTGAGCTCACATGCTAAGCACAAGTCAGAACTCACTGGCACAGGGATTATGCTGTATTTGTATTCGCCTGCCGAGAAGCTGGGTTTTCACAGAGGGAGAAAGAAAGTTTGAACGCTTTGAACAAGCCCAGTTTGTCTGTCTGTTTGAAGTAGCAGATGCTCGTCACTGGCGTGGCTCTTGAAAGTTCACCTCGTTCAAAGACTCTGGTACTTTTATTTTTTAAACGTCGGTGTCTATTTTTTTAAAAAAGTTAACAAGTTTATGATTGAATTGAAAGTCTCTATGTTGGTATGAAAACAACTGTCTACATTAAAGATGATATGGCAGTTTGCCTTCCATGTTCTAAAAGATTGCTGTGTAGCGTTGGGCCTAGACACCTGTGTGTACTTTTAGCCTGAGGAGATAATACACGAAACCTCTCTGTCTGCTTTATGTATTTACAGAATTATTTACAGGTCTTCATTGGTGGGTTTTCTCTTCTGAGGCATTTTTTTATCATCACTGCTTATGGGGTATCATCTTTGATATTGCAAACTCGAGGTTGTTCACCTTAAATTCATTGCAGTTTTAATCCAAACGTGCAAATAGCACAAAGCTTCAAATAAGCAAGTTATCTGGGGGAGGAGGGCTTGGGTTTGTTGTTAAGCACCCCAATTTAACCTCTTTATCCACCCCCAAAAAATGTTAATCCTTATTGAAAGAGTTGCAAGGGGGAAGGGAAGTAGGATTTAACTTGTGTTCTAATACCCTTGTCAGGTGCTGGGGTTTTTTTTCAGTGCTGCTTGAAGTACTTGTGAAAATTGCTCACCTGCAGGAAACATGAGGTCGCAGTACGTCACAGCGCCTGCAGTCGCTGTTCTGCTGTTCCTGCTGTGGATCCAGTCATCAATGGGCTGCAATAAGGCTCTTTGTGCTAGTGATGTCAGTAAATGCCTGATACAGGTATGACTCCTGTTTCCTTTATTTGCTTTTAAGCATTTAGGAAAAAGTCTTGAAGCTGTGTCTTGAAAAGATTGTGATACAAATAACTGGTATTTTACGTGTTTATTTAAAGAAGTTAATATGGTCTCATGCACATATAGATTAACAACGATTTAATAGCTAATATTAAGTGCATGTGTATATGATGATGTTTCTTTTTTTTTCCACAGATTGGTTATTGTTAGAAGCCACTATACCAGTCATGATGTTAGTTTTCGGTTTCTTCTTTACTAGTGATATTATGAATATTCTTTGTTAGCGATATTATAAACAAGCAACAATTTAAAACATTTTATTAAAAAAAGTTTCTGTGGGCAACAGTTGGGATTTTTTAAAGGTATCTGCAATACTAGAAGTTCAGATGTTCTTACAGTGTTTATCTGAGATGTTCCCCTTATCTGTTCCCCTTACCTTGCAATCTGTCCCAGCCTAGGCAGAGGGTCATTAGTTGATGCCTGATGCTCTCTGTAACATCAGGTTTGTACAGTTGCTTAAAAAATGCCTAAAAACTCACATGAGAGAACTAACACAAGTAGAACTAACACTTAACTTGTCTTCGAGTCCTGAGGTGCATTTGGAAAAGCTTTTTGATCAGAACGGACCTATGTCTTCTAACGGTTATGAGCAAGCTCTGAAAGCATGCGGGTCTACCCTAAAAAAACCCCAAAACCAAAAAACGAAACGAAAGCAATTACTTAAGAAATGGATGTTAAACTCAAATCCAGATGCTGCTTTTGACGCACTGTGCATTTGTCTGCAGTGAAAGAAACAGGTTGCTGCTCTTATAGCAGGAGTTAAGAGGTACAAGGTGCCACAGAAAAGTGCCTTTTCTGGCAAAATTGTAAGCAGTTGTGGTAACTACTAAGTATTTATTTACCAACAGTGTATTAAGCACACTTTTTGACTCCATATTGAAAAAAGAAGCCTTCATCTTGTCAGTTGCAGCTTCTTTCAATAAACTGTTTTTTACTGCCTCTTTGTAGACTGGAAACCCAATAGCAGAGAGCACAAATATCACATGCCAGTAATGTACTAGTATGCTTACTGTAAATTTATGATCACAGTCTGAAAAGTGATGCAGAAGTGGCGTGAAGCATTTCCATGTTTACTTCATTTCATTGACTTCCGTATAAAACTTGTCTGGTTTACAAATAAAAATACTTGCCAGATTCACAGATCCATCCTGTGGAATGAAGACTGACTGCAGTCTGAGCTGTCTTTCTGGTTTCTGCACTACCACTGCTTTAAAAAAAAGAAAAAAAGAAAAAAAGAAATTGCTACTTCTTCTAGCCCCACCATGGTCTGTGGAGCTGTTAAATATAGGAGCAAGAAAGAGGCTTTTGACTTTACCTTTTTGATAACAACACCGGTGGTTTTGCTGGTATGTTGGGCATTGTGCACTGTGACGAATTGATGCACTTGCAAGTTCTTCTGTTTTTTCAAATCACCTTTAGACTTGAAACCTTTAAAAAATAAGATTCTAGTTGTGGATTGGATGTATGAGGCACTTAAATTGCAAGTGCAGTGGTACAGATTTGCTGATTCAGGGGAAAGCTGTTGGCCCAGATGAAGGGGCTAACAGGGAAAATAAGGCTGGTTTCATTTCCTGTGCCACTGGTGGTGTCCACCACCCATAAAAGCACAGACATCTCCTTCCCAAGTAATCACTTACCTTTTATTGAGTCAAGCTTGAGACACCCAGCATCTAAACTTTATTTTTATGAGCTATCCTGAATAGAATACAGCCCAGGAGAGATGGAGCTAGTGCTACTGGAGTCCTTCCTCACCTGGGGATAAGATGGCTCAGGTTCAGCGATGCATGGAGGTGGCTCGCACCACTGTGTGTTACTTGAATTATGTTGGCATCTCTAGCAATGCAGCCCTGTGCATGCAGAAGGACCCCTGTATTGCTTTACTTGTTGTAGGTATGTTTTCTCTTACTTTGTGCAGGTGGTGTGGAATCCCTTTTTAAAGTGTTTCCTGGAACCAAAATTGTATGCAGTTCTCTGAGACCCTAAAGTAATCCAGGCCTTGTGAATTGTGTACAATTACGGGGGAACGCTGCTGTTTATTTTCACCCTCTGGCTGCTCTCTTCCTTCAAGCAGGCCTGACATACCAGTCAGTATTCATTCTTTATAGAAGAACAGATCAGGTCAGACTAGTCTGTGATGAAGGCTCCTAAAGCTTTGACTTAAAGCAATTGTTGTTTTTCTTCTTTGCCTTTTTTTAAAAAAAGAAATCTTCAGTGCTGTTGTGGCAGAAGTGCTGCACTGGTATGTGAAGTGCGTGTTATTTCTTGGGTAGGTATGCAAGTAGAATACATCCATGTATTTTTTTTCCCCTCTAAAGTCTTCTGGATAAATCTGAACTTAAAATACTGTGTTGAGTGAGTTTGCTTGACTATTGCATGACATTTTTCCCTAACCTCCTTTTGTAACTGTTCTAGTTCATCACAATCCGTGGCTTGAAACCAAGATAATGTCATTTGGAGACAACTGGGGGAGCAAACACTATGTGAATGTTTGTCATCTGCATTTGTGTGCAGAAAGAGAGGCTGCCTGTCTTAGACACATAATGAGATGAAAGACCTGCTCTCTCAAAAAGCATACGGTTAACATAAATATTTTTGCCAGCGTGGCTAGAAGTCAGTACAGTCATTACTGCCACTCCTTAGGAGCTGCTCTGCTTAAGGGTGGTCCCTACATAAATATTTATTTTGTTAGATCCAGAACAGAGCATGAGATCAACAATGCTCATGCATTCAACTTTTCTTTTACATCTGGAGGCTCTAGCTTTGTTGGTGCTCTTATAGTCTACTTTTTGTTTTTCTGAAAGCAAAGGCCTGTAAGAAAATAGCTTGAGGCATCTCTCTGTGTAAGCTTAGCCTTCGCAAAAAAACTTTGTGGCTTCCGGTAGTTGTTGAAGGAGGTGTGAATAAGGCTTGGGAGTGTAGGCAGCGTGGGACCACAAAATTGGTTCCCTTGGAGGCTCTGGATGTAGCTCCTTCCCATGTCTCTGGGATTGGGGCATTGAAGGCAATAACTGTTAACTTGCTTTTCAGGTAGGCCACTGAGCCCTGGTTGCACGCAGCGTGCATACTGCAGTATTTGTTCTAGCACATCTGTTGTTGACTTGGACACATGGGTTGTTTTGATGTTTCCATGTGTGGAGAAGATGAGAAGGCCAGTTACGTTTGCTGGGTGGAGCAGAGGCGTATATTGTGTCCTTGCAACATGGAGGAAATCCTTGAAGGCAGAAACCTCTAGGATGGGACGTTCCCACAATTGTTCGTAGCAAACGGGTTTGAGGCGAGTCCCAGGCTGGTTCTTGCGGTGCAGAGCTACCTGCAGTAGTCAGGCTTGGGCGGTACATCCATGTTGTGCTGGAAGCTGAGCTTTGCTGTCTCATCTGCAACAGCTCTCTAAACTACTGCCACGTGTAGGAAACAAATAGTGCTATAGTTCAGGTGTGGATTTCAGATCCTTCTAAAGAGGGGTTGTTTTGCGGAGAATACAGAGTTTGCTCTCCCAAATGCTACATGACTGCAGTCACTTCGACTGGTGCGGTATCATTATGATTAAAATCTCTCTTCATCTTTGCCTTTGCCTTCTGTTAATCTTGTGTACAAACTTGTCAGCTTGAAAGGATTTCCAAGACTTTTTAGCCCTGTGGTATGAAATAAACACCACTCCTTAACTTTAGGGCTTAGGCATCTAAAATTTACTTTCAGTGTGTATGTTTAGCTGTAGTACGTAAGGCACTTGGGTTAACAAAACAGTTCTGGCTGGTTTGCTTCCAGGAGATTTTCTGTTATTAAACTGTTCTAGGAAAAAAAACATTAGCTCTTTTTCTTTCACTCCCTCTTCCAGTTTGCAGAGATGTTGCCAATGCCTTCAGGTCTTGTTTCTCACTGCACTGACAAAATAGTCTCATTTCAAGAAGGCTTTGAAAAAATGCAGATGTTAAATACCTTGTAAAAATCTTTATTTTTTCTCTGGAGCAGAAGCATCTTTATTGTACAAACATGCCTGCTTCCTTTTTAATGCTGTATTTTTAGATGGAGAAGCTCATTTCTTGCCTAGCAAAATACATTCTCCGATGCACCTTCAGTAGTTCAGCTTGGGAAGTTGCCAAGTTGACTTATGAGTAATATTTTCTTCCGAGTAATATTTTCTTCCACTGACGCCTCACCACCCCCAGCTATCAACAAGGAACGTTTCTCATTCTGACTCGCAGAATGCTGCTTTCATGTAAGCATTCTTTTAAAAAGATGTATCCTGTACAAGTGTCCAGTGTGGATGAGTCAGGCAGAAGGACTCAAGAGTGGTTAGGGAAACCATGTACGTGCAGACACATATATGGAAAAACATAGAGTTATTGCCCTGAAGAGATGGTCACACTCCGAGAAGGGGAGAGCTGAAGAACTGTGCAAAAGGCTAATTAATAAGGTTGCTCTTTCTTCCTTCCTCCCCCTTCAAGTTTAAAAATAAATTTTAAAAAACCTCAAGAAAATTACACTGCTCATAAGCCCTTCCTATAAAAATAAATTTGTTAAAGTACCGGTAGGTATAATGACTCTATCCCAACATAGTGCTTATGCATATAGATGCTAAGCAGAAAAAATTTTTATCATGTTACAAGTGCAGAATTTAAGGTTACATTTTAATTCTGTGAGAATACCCTTCTATAAAAACTGAAACAACTTAAATTTAGTATATTTTCTGGCTTTGATTCATACATTACATTTAATAGTTTACGGAGGATTGCCTCCTCCCATGTACTGGCTTGTTGCTGTTGCAATGTCTTTAATAAGTATAAAGTTATTTGCCCAGTTTTAGTGTTGAAGAACAAATATATAGGATATTTTTAATGCTAGTATGTATTAATGCTATTCCTTGGCCAAGGTAACAGTACTTTACTCATGGTTGTTTTTAAAGTTGTTTTATTCAGGCTTTTTATTCTCAAGGCTGACACAATCTGTTTATCAAAGGGTAAGATAAATATTTTAGAATGCGTCATTCATTCACATAAGTCATTTTTCTAAGTTTGTGGCGTCTCCTCTTGTGGAAAAAAATTTGTACTTTATTAATAAGCCTATTTTTGATCTTTCACTTGGAAACAGCATAGTAATAGCTGACATTAGTAAACTTTGAGCATTAAAAAGTAAAAAAAAAAATCATGGTAGTTTTCCAATCTGTAAATAAAAATTTAAGACTTACTAAGACTGCATATTGCAGAAGTGCATGTGGTGCAGGAGTTCATGCTCGAACACTCAGCAGGGCAAACAGTTCACATTTAACTGTTCAGGCAACAGCATTTCTCAGCATTACAGTGAACACACAACAGTTTGCAAATTTGCTTTCTTCACTGGTTTCAAGGTTTGTGATCTAGGATGAAGTGAATGGAAAAATAACCAATCAATGAATTTACAGTGCATTAATACATACTAGCACCACGTCTGCAAACAGGTTTGGGGTTTTTTTTCAGTTTAGTCCCTAACTGGGAGCCCTGGAGCCTCATTTGGTATATTCTTAAGCCCTGTCACCAGCCAGACTTTGCTCTGGCCTTGCCCACTGAAATGCACTCTTCAGTCTTCTGTGGGCCTGCATGAGTTGGTGTGAGAGAGGGGGATCCCTATGTAACTCGACAGTCTGCAGAGATTTGCAGTTGCCAGTGCTGCAGAATAAAGAGAGAATGGGGATTGTACACAATCAGGTGGATCTCTGTGCCTTGCCTTGCCTAGCAGCAAATGTGCTCCTGTTTGGTATAAAAATGCCTCCTCGTTCCTCTACCTGATGCTTCTAAACCATAGCAAACCATGAATTATTTAAAAAGTGGAATTTTACCCCCTCAGCTTCTTCCCAAGGTGCTACAGAAAGACTTTGCAGGTGACGTTTGTGTCTGCCTTTAAGGAGCGGTGTCCCTGACCCAGCTGTGGTTAGCTGAGGTGGAGCCTCGGGTGGTGACTCCAAGTTAGGAGAATTTTACAGCAGAGCATCTTCCTGCCCTTCCACCCTGTCCATGTGCGTCTCCTGACCACACCACGGTGTGTCCCTCCCCTGCTTCTGGAGAACGGGATCAAAGTGCAGGGATGGGCGTCGTCATCTCCCTGGCCTGGTGCGTAGCAGGGATTTGCCGATGGCTCTTCCAGTAAATCACGGGGTGGGAAGGATCCTGTGGTCAGTGTTTCCAGTTAACGGTATTTTGTTTTCTCACCAGTTGTGTGTAATGTGATAGTTAGACAGACGTCATCGAAACCAAATTCTTAGACAGGGCAACCAAATGTGACTTCTTGACTGTCCATGTTTTGCACTGCAGCCTATATAGACAAGCCTATATATTACTGTCATGTAGCCACAATCTTTCAGCCAAATTGGATTTACTAGTACGGATTTGAGCTAGAGCGAAGGAGACCGCCTGGTTTTTAGATTTCCTTCATCCACATAGGCTATTTCTATGCTGTGAGGTCCACAAGTGTATGTTTTCAGCAGGACTGCTAAACCAGTGCCTTCAGGTTTAGGTAACTTGAAGAGAAAGGTTTGTCTTCTTGCTTCCATGCCTTTTTCATTTTTCTAACTTAATAACGCTTAAAGAAAAATGCATATACATACCATTTCACTTTCTAGAGGCTCCAGAAGTGTTGAAAGTATCCCAAGGTGGCAGTTTAGGGGAGGAAGAGGAAGGGGGTTGTTTTCATAATAGCAAAAATGAATCAACTGGACCTACAGGGAACAGAAATAGTCTGGTCACTGATAATGCAGATTGAGAGCAATGTGTAACAAGCATTCAGAGATGCACAAAATCCTCTGGTCAGATGGCTTAACCGAGTACGTTCCTTCTAGAATTCAAGAAGAGGTATGATCGTGGGTATCTTCTTGAATATGCACATGTGGCTTATAGTAACTTCCTTTTTTAGATAAATTATAATGTACATGAACTGTTTATATATAAAGAAACATCCTTCTTTGAATTTCCTGTTGTGATGGGAAAAACATTCACAGGACTTGTAGATTCAGGCATATATAGAAGTGCACACACCTTTCCCATAAATAGAATTTATTTCTCTTTTAAATACTGACTTCAGATTTGTCTTGAGAATGTCACCTTTAAAAGAAGAAACAACCTTGCAAAAGATCCTTTTGCAAACTAAGGTCAGTTCTTTGGCTGAAACTATTTTACCATTTACTCACTGTATTAGTGTACTAAGATTTTTTTTAATAACATGGTTTGAGTTGTAACTTGAGGAAGAATTGCTCTGCCATGTTAGCACGTTACATCTGGGATTGCTGCAGTGTAATGAGTTTCTGTTGTTCGCAGGAGCTGTGTCAGTGCCGCCCTGGGGAAGGGAACTGTTCCTGCTGTAAGGAGTGCATGCTCTGCCTGGGCACACTTTGGGATGAGTGCTGTGACTGTGTTGGTAAGTTTGTGTTTCTTTGGGATTTTCTTCTCTTTTTTTAAAATTGCTTCATCCTGCCATGTGCTGAGCTCAGAGTCTTATAATAGAAGTAAGACATTGGGACAGAATCTGTGCTTTAAACATCTTACAGCTTATTCTGTGGGTATTAGATAAATTACTGTGGGGAACCAGACATTTGAAGACTGTATCTGCTCTATGGAGTTGGGGATGGGGGTAGTCCAGATTTTGCTTGGTTAATGTAATCATAACTGACTATTTTGTCTCTAAAAATAAACTCCTTTTTGAATCGTCATCTTGAGGAAACTAAACAGCACCTATGTCATGGGGCTGGATGCTTTATGGAGGTTTCTAACTGTAAAGTGTATTGACAGATCCTGCACAGGGACAATTTTGGGTCTGAATTTCCCTGTGAATCCTTGAGACTAGTAGAAAATATGCATGGCCCAGTGTTTTCATTGTTGTTTTATTTGCAAGAAGAGCTCTTTGTGGAGGGTAAGAAAGAGGCACACAAGTTCTTATTGTAGGATTGGATGGTAGTCTTAACAAGAACAGCATTAGTACTAACAGGTAGTGTTCAGAATGCCCAGATATTTGCAAGTGAATGCTGCTCCTGCTTAAGGAGAATATATTCTAGTTCCCTCTCTTGTTTTAAATGTATTGAAAGCTTCATTCTCCCACAGCTGCTGGAAGTCTCCCTCTGCTGCCATTCAAAATCTTTCTGGCTTCTATGAAAGGGATGCATCTTGAGTGTTGTAACTGCTCTCAGCTTCTCAGGCTGGCTGGGTCTTCTCTGAATTCACTAAGGTGATTTGTCAAAATGCTCCTTTTCAGTGCAGTCCATTGCTTCTCCTGTTTCATCATGATGTGAATGTGCTTTCTGGCATCCTGCTTTTTGCTTGGTTCTGACTAGCTTACCTTTGCATTACCATCTTTCAGTAAGCAGCAGAGTGGTGTGGTCTTGCACATGTGTGAGTCCAACGGCATGAAGTATTTATTGCCTTGCACCTGTGGAGGCTATACATTTAGAAAGAGGCCCTAGGGTTTCTTTTTTCTATTTTATCTTGGGCTCCCTGTAAAGTTTTTTCTCTCTCTCCCCCCCTCTCCTTTCTTCCTCATCCCCTTTGCCCTTCCAAAGTTGTCTTGTTTTTTGTAATGTAACACTAAAGTGCTCTGTTATCATATTCACTCATAGGGGTGAGGAACAGGACAGTAGGCTATTTCCCTAGTTCAGAACCATTATCTGCAGTAGAAAGCAAGGCACAGTGTGCTGGTCTCTAGGGAGAGAAAGAACCTACCTCTTGGGATTCTGAAGAAAAAGAACAAAGTCCACACACAGTTGTGTGTGGGGTTTTTTCTAAATCTGCAGCTTACTGACTGTTCTGTTGCTCATTTCCGTGGTGTTGCCTAGGAGAGAAGTTAATGAAGTTTCAGGTTCAGTTTCCCAGTACTAAGTAAACTAAAACCTCTCCTGATGGTTCTGCAGGTGCCTTGTTGGTTCTGTGGTATGGTCCTATGCTTCTTCTCTTCAGTGTAGGGTCATCCTTGCTGTAGCCTTATTCAAATGAGGAAACAGGAGTGCACGCCATACCCAGCTTCCTGGAGGCAGTTCTTTCCTGATACTTGAGCTGATATTTAAGCTCTTTATAAGCTGATCATGTCTAATGTAAAAGCAGATAGGTTGTCGTGTCTTTCAGGTCATGTGGGGTCTTGAGGTCAGGAATTACCTCCTAGCCTCCAGCACTAACTTTATGGGTGCTCAGTTGATGCCCTGTGTTTTGTGTGACTGTTCTCTCCCTTTTCTGACAGGGAAAAAGATACCAGAGGGAGGAGGACAGCAACAGGTTCCTCTTTTCTCTACTTGTCTAAGTTTTGTGAGTTAAGCTCTTCTAGTCCCTCACGTAAAGGCTTGTCTGCTTCCATCATTTCAGTAGCCCTTTTCCACATCTTTTCATACATTCCAAAGCAGTCATGTAGACGTGTTTGTTCCTTACCAGTTGCTCATGTTAAGCTTTTTAATTTTTGTTTTAACCAAAGCTACTCTTTTATAATAATTATTACATATAAATATTATTATAATTAAAATACTTTTAGAAAATACTATTTAAAAATAGTTTTTAAAATAGTAAGAGGTAAGGATCTTTGTGGAGTGAGCAGTTACCCATTAAACTATGAGCGATGGTTTCTTGGTACCATACCGCATTGATAATGCACACAAACTTGTACACATTCTGCAATAATTTAATAAACAATTTTGATGTTATTTTTCTCCTATTGGTCCTTCTTATCAGTGAAATTTATTTTCTGAATCCAACCTGACAGAGAGGACCTCTAGAAAAGCTTGATGGTTTCCATTTCACAACATTAATACAATGACATTAACTAAAGTATACATCTCTTGATATAGTTGTACAAAACTCTTATCTTCCCAATTAATTTTTTGGTGGACATCCTTTATTACAATTGTATTCCAGGTACTTAATAAAAGGTGATAATGCAGACACAGAAATTTTTTGTTGAAGCAGTGAGTACAGGAATGTCGGTGAAGAACAAATGTAGTTGAGAGGAGTAGGAAAATAATTGTTTACAGTAGGAAGTTTGTGTAAGTGGAGTTATTTTTTAGTGTGACCTGATGGTGTTTGGAGAGGCTTAATTTTTTTCCTACCCAATACTTGGCTCACCTTTTTATAGGAGAAGACTATCTTGTGTTGTTCCTATTATTAAATGCTGGTAATTCTAACCACTTGCCTAAGATTTGTCAGATCTCATGCTAATTGTCATAAATAAGCTTCACTCTGTTTTGTTCATTCTTGAAATTTATGTACTTAGGTTGTAAAGATTGTGGTTTTGTATAAGGCTCTGCATAAACATGATTTCTGAAGCTGGAGTTCTACTGTATCTGCACTGCAGAAGATGCTTCTTTGGTTGTGTGGGTCAGGTAGACTTTGAACATTTATGTCCCATACTGCTTTGATACTTCACCGATTGGTGTAATTTGCAGCTGTAGCTGTCTCAGACTGTGTTTGTGAAGCTGCCCAAAATGATATCCAGATGTACATGAGGGGAATGGATTTGTCTGTCTCTTGCCAGGTGACTTCCAGTAGCGTTTTATGGTTTCTGAGTTTAACTATCTATGCAGATACAGCTTTTCTTTTTAATCTTGGTTGTTTCAATGTTCAGATTAAATCAAGAAACCCTTCAGTTTCACTGCTAGTAATAAATGCTAGTGTTTAAATGGTTAATGAAAAACTGGCACCTGCATTGCACATCACAGAAACATTTTGTAGGAAGTGGCAAAGAGAAAAAAAAAAAAAGACTACAAAGTTGCAAAAAAGATACCACAAAAGACATGGAAAAATAAGGAAGAGGTAACCTGGAAATAAGCATTTTGCCAGTAGTGACCCTTCCAACTAAGTAGCAAAATTAGGTTTATCTCCACTGTTTCTAAGATCAGATTCTTGCTCCATCCTGATAGTGATCATTGCATCTCTGGCAGATGACTAAAAAGATCTAGTGCACTGCTGCAGCAGATGAGATCGAATACTTGAATTGTGATCAAAAGTTTCATGTACCTCAGGACTTGTCAAGATACTATCTTCCTTCAGTTGTAAGCTTTCATGCCAGATTTATGCTAGTATCAACTATACTGTGCTTTGTCTCTTTTCCCAGAGGAAACAAACCCTTCTTTGAACTCTTCGTATTCTAAACTGTAATGCTAGCATAAAAAGGGAAGTGAACTGCTGTTCAGATGAGGTTTTTCTTTTCACTTTGATCTCTCAAGTCACAGGTGTGTTTTGTGGAAGTCTGTAAAGATCTGAAACTTGCTGTTACAGAAAGCTCATTCTGCTATATTTGGTGGAACTATTGAGCTAATATATACGAAAGGTCTCTCTTCTGCTTAGAAAAAAAAAGCAAATTTTAATTTTCTAAATATTCACACCTGTTTCAAGGAAAAGAGTTTAGGAAGTTCTGTGTGACTTACTGTTTCATTCCTCTGCAGGTATGTGCAATCCTCGCAATTACAGTGACACACCTCCAACATCCAAGAGCACTGTCGAGGAGTTGCATGAACCAATTCCTTCCCTTTTCCGGGCACTGACAGAAGGGGATACTCAGCTGAACTGGAATATCGTTTCATTCCCTGTAGCAGAAGAATTGTCACACCATGAGAACCTCGTTTCCTTTTTAGAAACAGTGAACCAGCCACAGCATCAGAACGTCTCTGTTCCAAGCAACAATGTCCACGCACCTTACTCTAGTGACAAAGGTAATGAGTGTAATGTCTAAATTCCTAGCGTTTCCTCTCGTCTTTTCCAGGAGCCTTCTCAGTGCATATTCTTTGCTTGTCTGTGCTTGCTTCTTCTTTTCCCATAGAAAAGTGTGAAAAGTTGAGTCTAATTTTGAGCATGATGTAACAAAAGGAGTGAGGTAAAAATACTGAGGCACGTGGAAGATGCTGTTAAAGTGTCTGATGATCTTAGGAAATGCTGAGCCATGTGAGTTTAAATCTGTAATTCCTCCTGTGATATGAGGCAGTTTGTTCACATTATTTCAAGTACACTAGCATGGTATGTTCTTTGACTTTGAAGCAGTTACCTGTATCTTAGGAGACAGGACAGACCAAAAACTGAATCCAAATCACTTAACAGTGCAGAGCTAGGCAACCGAAACACATGACTTCAGAAGTTTGAGAAAGAAAATGACATGCCATAAACAATTGTATCTAGAGTAGATGTTTTTTTCTTTTTCTGAGCTGGCATAACCAACTCTTTAGAAGGATGGTTTGTAGAAAATCCAGTATTAATAGTGAACCTGAGTAAGATTAGCAAGATCACTCTTCATGTTGAGGAGGGATGTGACAGACAATCTTAAAAATAAGCAATTTGGAGGTGGGGGTTCAACTTATAGACTCGTTCCTCTTATTTAGTATCAAGGTTTTTATATTCTCACCTTCAGTTTAGAGGACAGACTTCAGAATATTGTTTGCTGGGGAGTGGGTGATGAGAAGTTTGAGGTAGTGACAACAGTGGCATAAGAAAAATACTCTGCTTCTGGGTTTCCATACTAAACCTGAAATACTTTTCCCTGCATATCATTACATCAGACTTAAAAGAATCTCATAAACAGTTCTTGGTGAAATTGCAGCTTAACAGGGGAAAAAAAAGCATGTTTTATTAGTGTAGTTAATTCTTTGCTTCCTTTCCAACATACACTTTAAATATTTGTAACCCCATATGTTGCTGTTGTGATGGCTCTTTTATCTCATCAATGAAAGATACCCTAATTGATGGACAGACTGCTTTTCCATACCATTGTGAACCTTTGACCTAGTTACGTTTCTGAGTAGGACTGCTGTTGATTAAATGGGACCATAATGGCAACTCTTCTAATTTCCTTTGGTTAAGGCGCGTTAGAAAAATAAATTAATTCCAGAACTGGGAAACCAGATGGTCAGAAAGCATCTCATTCATATGTTTTTGACGTTATTAAAACGCTTGCTAGCCATTATGAGAATGATGCAGAAAGCCATGTTAAATGGCAAGCCACAAAAAGCCCTGTGTGCAAACACTACAGTATTTAAAGATGTAAATTATACTTGGAAAAAAAATTACGCTTAGGACAATCTTGAATATATCCCACTGTACTAGGTACTGCAGCCCAGATGGCTGTTCCCTGACAGTCCTTTACTACCATACCAACAGGATGGGCTAATGATAGTTTTGGATTAAATTTAGAATTTGAATTGCATCTCAAGGGTGTGGAGGAGTTTTGAGTTTAACAACACAGACAAATACATAACACTTCAATTTTTTCGTAGTCAAAAGTCTCCTTCATTTCATTTTTACTAAGAACATATTAGAGATTAGGTTGAGAGAGCTTTCACTAGAATGATGACAGTCCAAAAACAACAGTTATATTTGGAAATAGTTACCAAATGCCACTGGTTTTCAGTCTTCAGTAGACACTTAGAACAGAAATAAATGTCAGAGCTGTTCTTGTAATCATTGGCTATGCCTCCTCCATCTTAGTGATCAGTGAAGAACTGGAAAAGGTAGAAAATGGCTTTCAAAATCCTATTCTTGAAGTATCTAAATATGTAAGCCTGTTGAGGGGTCTCTTTTCTTTTTCACAATGTAGGTAACATTTTCAGAAGTCATATTAAAGTTTGTATATAAAAACATGGATGATTCAAGCATTGAGAACAGAAGATGGTGGAAAGAAAAGTTGGCTGCTGGCCTTGGCCAGTTGGTGTTTGTTATGGTGGAAGCAAGGACAATTAGGGAATTGTACCTCTTGTGTTGGATGCTATGTGAGCTATGGGCTGGCATTGTTTTTAATACTTTTTTGATGAGTTCGTTGGGGAAGCAGTAACCAAAAGGTGGAGGGGTCAAGGGCTAAAGAGCCTTATGAGCATGGGCATGGAGAGGGAGCCCAGGAAGTTGCTGTAGTCTGATGGTTTCTGCCCATGCAAAGTTCGGTCACACAGTCAAGTCACTGTGGTTTAACAAGCTAGCATGTGTTAGAAGACTAAAGAGAGAGGGTGGGTGTGTGCGTGTGTATGTGTGGGTGCTGCAGTAATTATGAGCATAGCCTGCAGTGGAAGAAACTGAAGACCATGTCTTTACTCTTTCCTTCTCCCCAGACATGGTGCTGGGCTTAAGGGCAGATCTTGCAAATGGAGATGTCGTTAAGGTGACTTGCTAAGCAGTTTTCTTCAAGGCTGTAACATTCAGGGATTTGAAAGAATATTCCTGTGAGCAGAAACACAGATGCTCTGTTTTCTTTACAGTGCTATGCCTCCTCCATTTCATGCTTATTTTGTGGCTCCTTGCATGCTTCACTCCAGCATGGTGTGCTGGGCAGCAGCCTATTGTATTGCCTGTAAAAGGAGAGGGGCCTGCATGCTGTCTTCTGGAACACATCCCAAAATTTGGAAAGGCTCTGCCTGCAAATACCCCTTGTCACATCATGTAGCACAGTTCTGATTTTAATTTCAGCGTGCGTTGATGCAGGGAATGGTTTAAGCTGGTCCAGGGTGCCAGACTTTCTAGATTGGGTGAGTGTCAGGAAAAGCAGCATCAGCCAAGGGAACCTACGAGCTTTGTGCCTGAGTGGTGTGAAGCCACCGGCCCCAGGAGGGTGGCTGTAGATCCAGGGGGAAGTGGGGTGCAGTGGCATATAAAGCATTCCTTGTCTCGCCCCAGCCTACTGCAAGCCCAGTCGCCAGACCTTGGACTTCCCTGTTATTATCTTAATGAGTGTCTTCCCTTTCCTTCTATGAACTGACTTTTAACGTTTTAGCTGCCAAAGTATGCATGCGCTGCTGGAGCTGCTGTAGTTCTTTGTACCAGTAGTTTCTGGTATTTGAGCCGCTACTTGAGAGAGGATTGTGATGATTATTCATCTAGAGCTACATCTATACTCTGTCCTTTTTGCTTTACTTTTTGTTGATAACCCTCAGAGCTCTGAACTGCAAGTTCAGATGTTTAAATAAGCTTAATTGTTTCAGATGATGACAGGATGTTGGCGAGAGAGGGGAACTAGATAATCTTTTGGCAGCTGATGAAGTAAAATCTGTGTTGTAGTTAAGGGTTTCTAACTTGATACCACAGGGGATGGCGTCTGCTCTGCGTTTCCACTCCCCTCCAGTGCCAGCCAGGTAGAGCTAGAAATCCAGTAAAGTGGCATCTACCTCCGTAGGTACTCTTAAGAAGCCCTTTTTTTTTTTTTTTTTTTTAAAAAAAAAAAAAAAAAGTTTCTTTTTATGAGTTCTGATTGGCATAAAATGGTATGGCTGCTGGATGGGCAGTTACCTTTTTCAAGTACATTTAAGGCTACCGATAAACAGACCAGCAGACAACTGAACTTACGTAGCACCTTTAACTTCAAAGATGGCATACAGGGTCACTGACTGGGAGAGTTTTTTCATCTTGTAGATAGACATTTTTCCATAACTTACAAGAACTGAATTGTTACATCTTTTCTGAGTTGCTGAATTCATCAGTAGTGCACCAGTACAGATCTCATTTGCAGCACAGACAGTATCATAGCAAAGCCCAATAGAAATGTGAGTCCATTATTTCTGGTTATTTGGAATTTAGACTTGATTGTTGTTTCTCCCATATGACCTTTGTAGAGTATGAATTGAGGGGGAGGGGGGAAAGGTGGGAAACTCTGGGGAAAAAAAATGCTGCTACATCTCTCTCCTTCCTCGCATCTATAGTCTGTAGCCTTTACTGTGTGAAAATTGGCAAAATGCAAATGAAAGAGCTGTTACTGCACTAAGTAACATCCTTTTTATCTACACTGAGGGAGCAAAGTGATGACTATGTAATTAGGTTTGTGAAACAATTTAAATACTCTTCAGGATCCCAGCTGAGCCTATAGGTATGTATTTCTTTCCCCTGTGTAACTGTTACTGCAGCCTATAAAGAGGGATTTAATGCTTGAGGTGAGGAACTGTCCTGCTTTCAGTAATTCAGCCTCTACACAAGTACACAGATGCTCTGATATGGGGACCAGGAGTGTCCCATGATGAACAAAATGCACCCTGGCCAATCTGACTTGTTCAGACCTGGCAAGTCACTGAGTGAGCGAGGCCTCAGAAACTGTTTGGTAGCATATACATGGAGCATGTCCTCCAGCTGCTTACAAGAGCTACTGGGAACTAGCCAGATGTGCTCCTGGCTCTGGCCTGCTGTGTGCGGTCTGTCCTCTCCCCTTCACAGCATTTTTGGGCTCGTCCTTTAGGACCTAATCCTCTTGGCTTGTGTGCAGGTGGAAATAACCTTTCTTCTCCACTCTCCAGTCAGTCAAGATTAATGTCCTTGGTTGTTGCTGCCACCTTCATAAGGTCTGTCTTTGGTTCCTATTTTGGTCCTTGGCCAAGGAGACCAGTCTCACAGGACCTGAGTGCTGTCACCTGGTTTTGCCAGGGTTATGGGCCTGGTGCTGCTTGTCCTCCAGCCTTGTTTCCCCCCAAAGAGATGTCTTCAGTCTCCCAGTTCATTGTCATTGATCTTTACATCCTAGAAATCACAGGCTCATCTTCCACAAGAGGTTTTTCATGTTTCAGCAGGCATTAGTTGATGAACTGGGCTTCTCCAGGACTTCTGAACTGGTACTAACATGGATGAGGCTGTCACAGATGAAGTTAACATGAAGTTGAACACAGAGGAGACTTGTCATTGTCTGGTGTGAAGACAGCTTGCAAGTGATAGGAGCAGCTAGATCATCTCAGAGCGTGGTCAACTTTCCTGACAAGCTTTCCTGACCTACTGTAGACTTTCTTTTGTGTGTTGGAAGTCGGAGTGCACTGGTCAACATGATAGCAGTGAGCACTTCTGGCAACCCTTTGGAGAGGACTCTAGTTCCTTTAAAGAGTTGTTACACTGCTATCTAGAGTGAGCTGTGAGTCATTTTGCCTCCTCAAGCTGAGCCAGAGACTAGGTCAGTCAGGTGGAGATGGCATCTCAAAAGCTGATTTTGCAGCAAGAAGTCTTTCTGGATTAGCCAGGATTGCCTGTTTCAAGGCAGAGGCTCTGTGCCTCCAGCTGACACCTTCTAAGATTGACCTTGTGTATGGCATTTAAGGTCAAACTTGAGAAGAAAACTACTAAAAAGTTATCAAAGGAGTGAATTGGGGTTAAGAGGGTACAAAGAGTATGAATATGTCTTAGGCTTCTATAAGGTTCCAGTGCTTTTACTCCAGCACTGAACTGGATGGCTGATGGGACACTCACTGGTTCTTGGATTTCATGAGGAATGCTGCCTGGACGCTCAGCTCTTTCTCCCACCTTACCCTTCCACTGAAAACCTCCTGTGAGGAGTGAGGGGGACAGATACCTGGGAATGTCTGGGCCTCCTGGGAATGTGTGCTCCTTCCTGGGACCCTGGCAATCTGAGCTTTTTGTCGCTGGTGATGAAATGTTGTGAAGTCCTTTGTGCATTCTTCATAAGATGATGGAGCTGCTCTATGATGTCTGGGTGGATTCTTGCCTTTGAGGCTGTGATGGCTGCATCTCCCTACCACTTTTCAGCTTTGGCTGAGCACTTCAGGTGTATACCTGGTGGGTCACTCTTTGCATGTGCTACCATAGCATATGCTTCTATTCTGCTCTTTCTTCCTCCCCTCTGTAAATAAAGTGTCCTTACTGAAGCTGTAGATATGTTGGTTGATTATAGACACAGGTTTGGTTCTCTGAGAACTCTCTCCTTTGGGTGTGGTGCCTCAGGCTTTATTATAAGGGGTCACAGAAACAGAAGTGCCAGGAATTGGACAAGACTGGCACAGGCACAGCGTACTTTGTTGACATTCGCAGCAGTACTTCAGGTACTCCAAGATTTCTTGGACAACTACAGCTTTACTCACAGTGCATTTTTTCTGGGAGCAGAATCTGTTCTTGGTACTAGGGAAGCCAGCTGCATAGATCTGTTGACTTGTAAGGTGATGAAGACCCTTGCTGGCCTCAATTCACCTTTGGACCTCACCTTAAGAGCTTGCCATCAGATATGCATACTACTGAGGCTGTTACTCTATGGGGCACCAGTGTTTTGAAGGGAAGGTTCTGGTGCACTTCAGCCTCCCAAGAGTTGCTTGCAGATAAGAGACTTAATAAACACTATGGTTAACAACTGCACTGCTCTGAGAGTCCTTTGGTTATTTACCCTTCTCCATATCTTCAGAATCGTTCAAAAAAACCCCCACTGTCTCGATTTCCATTTACATTTGAATTACGTTTTTCTATTCTGTGTTGGAATGTAGGTCAGTATGCTTCTCCTGGATCCATGTACCATAAGTGGTAATAGGCTAGAAAGCCCCGTGACATCTCCTGCTCACAAGTTTGTCTGATTGTGTGTGAGTGAAACATGCGTGTTTGCAGACAGCTTTCAATTGTGCTTTTCCTTAACGTGTGCCAAGTTACACTGGGGCTAGATGTGATACAGTCAGGGTCCTTTGGAGGATGAACAAAGTTACAGTGTAGTCACTCAGCACAGAAGAAAGTTGGTAGAATCTGTCAGCTTGGAGAATTGGAAGTAGACTGGGGAGGGATGTTTTTGTTTTATAGTTGTGGTGAATTCGTCAGCTCTAGTTTGAGTTGCAGTGCCAAACTTCATGGCATTTCAAGTGATGGCATGGATGGTAGAAGGATGAAGTTAACACTTAGGCAGAAGGGGTTCCTTAATCTTAGTAGTAAAGCTGGTGATGTTGCTAAAAAAAGAAAAAGAAGAAAATACTGTTCAGTTGCAATTTGAGGCAAACGGGATTCTCTAGCTCTGATTTAATGTGGCTGAAGAATATTGTGGCGTTGGGGGGGAGGAGGAGATGTTTACACTTAAATAAGTGGGTTTTGGTGGTTTTTAAATAACTTCTATAAACCTGAAGATTTTCATGATAGCATGTAGTAACTGCTGGCAACTGTGAAAGTAGTATCTTATACTGCCTTCAGAGGACACATGCCTGCTTGTTATTTTGCCTTAGCCCATCCCTACATTTTAGAAGGTATCCCTCATAACCAGGGGACAAAACCCAAAAACATTCTTGCCTGTGACTGTAGAAATAAATTAATCCAGAGGGAGAACAGACAACAGGTTGAGTTGTAGACACTGAAAACTTGATAGATTGTACCTTGGCTCTCTGCCTATTCTCTCTGCTTTCCCTATCACCTTTTTTTCCTTATGCCTCATAAGCATAATGATTTGCAATCCTACTTCAAAAGCTGCACATTTAATTAATTTTTAAGTAACCTTTAAAAATATTTTAAGACCTTTAAAAATTTTTCCCCCCTCTTGGTTTAGAACACATGTGTACTGTGGTGTATTTTGATGACTGCATGTCAATACATCAGTGCAAGATCTCTTGCGAGTCCATGGGAGCTTCCAAATACCGATGGTTTCACAACGCCTGCTGTGAGTGTATTGGGCCAGAATGCATCGACTATGGCAGTAAAACTGTAAAATGTATGAACTGCATGTTTTGAAGCAGGAAAATTGTAATATAGTAATATTGAGGCCAAAGTAATCTCTCTCGGTTAAAGAGATGGGGATTGCAAATACTGCATTTTGGTGGAGTGCCTACTTGTTGCAGTTAAATGTACCTGGTCGTAAAAAGATGTATAAAATCTGAAAACATTGTTTTTTTGGTTTTTAATTCATGTAAGCTAGGCTAACTACTAGTAGTAGTTTCAACACTATGTTTTAAGTTCATTTTTCTTTATTTCTGCTCGAATGGTACAGTCATGCTCATCCTTGCTGTTCTGATTGTTTTCTTTTGATTTGAAAGTATTGACTATACTGGTTTTCAGAATGTAGTACTATATGTTGTTGTTTAGAGTAGGGAAACATTAAGAATATGGCAATGAGATTTCCATCATCTAAGTTCAACAAATAATTAAATGGCTGCTCAGTTGGAGGAGGGTGGTTGTTCTTCAGGAACTGTTTTTTTAGGGTTTGGTTTCTGGTTTTGTTTTTTAACTTTACCTTCCAGTTTTTGAGCTTAGCCTTCTATTGTGAAAATAGTACTTGGGGAAGAAGAAAAATTAAAGCTTTCTCTTTTAACACATGGGCTGTCATGGATAAAATCCTAACTTCTAAGAAGGGCTGCCCAACAAAACAGTATGTATGGGACACTTTTCTTCCAAGTTTCATTTGCCCTGCTCTTGTAAGTACATCAGGGTCTATGTTGCATAATTTATATATTAAAAAAACTTTTTGCTGGTCTTTTAGATACCAAAATAAAGCTGTTAAATGCAGCTGCATCTCCCTCCTTTTGCACTGTTTTCTAGGGTTGTGTACTCCCTGAATGTTCAGTCCGGTAAAGGAAACGTTGAAAGGTTATTATGGATTTAATGACTAAATGAATAAGGAAGAATGAAATGATATGAACTAGCAAGTGGTACAGGGCTACCAGTTGAGCAGTTGGCAGCAGGCATGTTCCCATTTAGTAGTTTGCTGTGAATATTTATTCCAAAACATAATTGTTCTTGGGGATTTTTTTTCCCCATAAAATGTTGTCACTGAAGAGGGGAAGACGTATCCACAAAGGCAAAATTAGGATGTTCTGAGTTTAGAGCATTGCCCATTTTTCTAAGTAAGAGTTTTAGTATGGTGACAGTTACATAGCAGTTACTATGACCCAGTTAGGGCCACTGATAATGGTACTAAGTACAAGAATAAAGTGTATGAGTAGTTAACAATCAGCTTTTGGTATTTATAACTATGTGGGTTTTAACTTTTGAATTCTTTTTTATGCATATGCACACACACACAAAAGAATTTGACTGTTCATGATTCACTAACCTCAGTCTAGAGGGAATAAACTGTTTTCCAGTCACACCTGTCTATTTGTATCATGTACATATGAAAGCAGTCATTTTAAATTTATTTTGTTGAAATGCTTGCCTGAATGTTTTTTTATTTTTTCTCATGATACAGTTTTTCCAATAAGATGAAATAATAATTAAAAAAAATCTACTCTCGTGAAATAACGCTACATCTCTCTTTCAGCTGTAAACAAGTATTTGAAAGGTGAATGTTTATTGTTGTGAATTAGTGGATAATGGAATACCTTCATGCTTTAAACTTGCAAGTAAATGATAAAAAAATCATAGACGTGAATAGAAAAACTTAGCTTATCACGAAGGAGTAGTTCTTCTTATATTTGACAATTCACGTTATCTATTCTTCTGCTTGGATTCTTAAAATGAATGGAGAGAAAGAATATGTTGGAGTAGCTGTGACTGTTTTTAGCCAGAGGGTGATGCATCATTGTTCTTTACCAAGATAGGACACATACAGTAAGCATGGCTACAGGTCATTAGCGTGCTTTCGATTCTTGCCATGTTAAATTATTGGAAACATTATGGTAGTACAGAATCTTCTTGGGGAAAAAACAGCTGATGTTTCTGGTCAGGCACCTGCTGCCCCATGGATCTGTGGCACCATCTCCATTTACATCATCAGAATTTCACTGTGAGGTCAAGTTAAGGGAAGAGCAAGGGTGTGGAGTGGGGTGGGGGGTGTAAATGGGATGGGACTGACCTAACAGGTGTCCAGGAAACACTGTGGGGAATGGCATTAAAATGTAAACACAGTTGTCTGTGTAATGGCCTGAGAGTAGATAGTAAGGATGCACACTTTCGGGGGCTTGTCTTATTTTTTGTAATTCCTGATGCTGTCTAGAGTTTGTTGTAAGTGTTGTGTGTATGCAAATGTCATACAGCAACATCCAGTGTATTTTATTATGATGAGTGTTTTAAGAGGTATTTTAATAAAAAGACATTACTGGTTCATGTGTTTTCTTTCTCAAGATTTTCTCAGGGCAAATGTTACTAGTAAGTATATTACAGAAATTACTGATCTAGACAGACGGAATAATACAGAAAATTAATTCTTCAGCATTTTTTTTCCAAAACTGAAATTGTAGTTTCAAGTTTTTTTCTTTACATAAATGAATAAAATAGAATTTTTTTAACAGTCAAAATGTTCTTTCTGACAAATCTATCCATTTTGGAAAGTTTTTATTGAGTCTTAATCATTTTGCAAGATAAATCATAATTTATTTTGTGGGCTCTTTATTTCACCTACCAGCAAACCATCTCCTACACAAGTGCTTTGGAATATTTCAGAACATGTTTTAAACAGTTTTCTGGCTGTGAATCTTCTCCAGGTAAAGCATCAGCCAGTTTTATCACTGTCCTTTGGGACAGAATTGTAAATCACTGAACTTAAAGGGAAGTAAAAAAAGGGAATATAATAAGAAATTATACAAATCCCTAGTCTTGGGGTTATGACTGAAAAGAGGTTGAAGGCCTTGTGTTATTCTTTCTCTAACAGTAGAGAAAGTTTTTGTTTAGTTGCTTTGGGTCTGGAGTTTGGGGTTTTTTGTTTGTTTTTTCGCACAGGCATTTGGTGCTCCTAAATTACAGAAGCACTGACACCCTGCAAAGAGAGTGAGTACAATAGCCATAACATGATATTGCTTTCCTGTCATGTCTTAGAGTTCCTGTCTTACTTTTAGTACTTCTAGTGGATTTCACATCTCGTACTTCAAAAATAAATGTGAGAACACATGCTTGTATCTCTATTAACATACCTATGGTCTCTCCAGTATCCATCCCAGAATGGTGGCTGATTTGATACCTGGCTTTCCAGCCTCCCATCCCGCTGACTGGCTAGTCTGGCCTGATGTTTGCTGGTGATTGCACGCTGACACACAGACCCACACAACACGCACAGGCTCCAGTGTCTCCAGCCATGGGCACCCGAGACACGCAGGCCCCTGTGACTCGTGGTCCTCTCTCCAGTGGCGGACACTTGTATCTCTGCACACACAGCACAGAGACACCCTCACCCAGGAGAAGTTTAATGAGAAGACAGGACAGGCCGTGGTGATGAGGTACCTGCAGGGCACAGCCATGCCAGTGTACTGAGCAGCAACCTGTTTACAGCTGACCAGCCCATTTTATCTCCTTACCCTCTTTTTCTCCATCTTTGTTCCTCGCCAAACAACCTTGATCCATCCCCTTCCCTGCCTTTGGTCTTTCTGCTGTAAATCCTGTAATAGGTCTTGGGCCATTGCAAAGTGTTCTTCCCCCACGTCCCAGGCAATAACTCCCACAACTCGGAATGATGGCTCTCATGGGGCAGCCCTGGGAGCGGCTTATTTCTCAGGGTACTGTATTGGAGTTCCCCCACCTGGTATTGTGCCACTACACTCCTTTGTGCTCATGGAGAGGAGCATTGATCACATAACCTAACATTTTGTTAATTGTAATGTCTGCTGGGCACCTTTACCAAGATTTGCCACGTGATCTTGGCATGACTCCTTTCATCAAGCAGTACATCATTAAAATTTGTGCTACTCACACAGGAAGACATACTTAGATACAAAATGTTGCAAGGAACAAAGTAAATTCCTTTCAGACAAATCTACCTAAGATATGAGGCTGCCAAGACCTCTTCATTGCTTAAGTATTTTTGAATTTTCTTCTTACAGCAAAGATCTTGAAGTGGTGTGACTCCATAGTAGTGCTCATGGGAGTTGTAAAGGCAGAGTTGAGTGTCATTCAGTTCTTTTTGCTCTCTTCTACTGTGTGATACTTCTTACAAATAACATACTTTATGCCCCAAAGGCGTTAACTAATCTTCTAGGCTTTCCTTTGTATATTCAGGCTCTCATTGTTTCATGTGTGTTTCTGTATGTGGCCAACCAGTTTCTTTCCTAAGCTACACCTCTATGACTGTTGTGTATTCCTTTATTGCTAATGAGAATTACATAGTTCATCTACAGCTATCCCCGGATAGTACAGCTCATGCAGACTCCCATCTCTCCAAGACCAACTCAACCCCAGAACTGGCTTTCTTGAAGTAGTAGCATAACAGAGAGGGAATGGGAAGAAATTTTTTATTTGTTAACACAGCTCTGCCTTTTTCCTTTTTTTTCCTTACAAAATGCTTTCTAAAGCTCCCCTCCATTATTATTTTATTAGATTTATGAGGTTCAGGTACATCAGCATGTCTGAATTTCAAAGCAGAGAGCTCGCCACTTCAGAATTCTTGCTGGTCTTTCTCTTTAAAGCAGTAAGAATTTACAGAGTGAATGTGGGGCATGGAGGGTGTAAGTGCCTTGATCTGTGTAAGTAGGGCTCAGACCACAATAAGTTTTGTAAGTCAGGAATTGTCCAAACGTATTTCACATGGCAGTAAATTGGTATCGTCAGCACTGCAGACAATCCCTTCCTTGTTTGTCTTCAGAAAATGAGAGAAGACTCATTCTGGGTTCATTAGCCGATGGGCCCACTGTGTGTGAACTTGTGTTGGCAACAGCCTCTGATAATACTTATTCTTTGGAGCTGAGAGCCTCTGGTGACTGTCACTTCAAGTGGAGATCCTCACAGGCAATCATCTCAAATTACTATGGGATGTTACTGGAGTAACCTTTCTCTCTTCTCATGCCAGAAGTAACACGGCCTTTGTATAACAAAAAAAAACCCAAACCAAACAGGAGCTGCGATGTTAAGTTAAATACACCAGTAAGCCCTTGCTGTTCAACTGTTTCTTCTGGAGAGGAGGAGGTAAATTGGAAGCTGGTGTGGTTATGTAATATGTTGTGGAGACAATATCTCTGTGCTCCAACACTAATCGGAGTGTTTACAACCCTCCCTTTTGTGTTTTCTACTGAATAGCACAAATTCCTGTGGGGGACCTTTTACATTACCGCAGGAGGTTGCACAAAGAGCCCATTTGATAGGGACTAAGCACCATTGAATCTCAAGTGAATAAATGAAGCAGGTGGCACGCTGCCACAGTATTAGTATGTCCAGTAGCCCAGGGATTACGTTTGAGGCTGTGGGAATGAATCGGTCTGCTTCTTACTGAAACAAATTTCCTTGTTGATGAGGAATCCTGAAAAGGATTCAAATTATGCAGGTGCTTAACATAACAGAAACTTGCATTGTAAGAGACAAATAATACAAAATTCCTTTTAACACCACTGTAAACAGGATGCACGGTTGAGATGGAGATGTTTCTTGGCACAGGTCACCTCAAGCTGTATCCAGAGGGTTTCTCCATTTTCTTGTATTCCAGAGCGTGGCAGAGAGGAGCGGGTAGAGATTCAAGGTCAGAACCCTTATGCAAGATGAACCTGATGGCTGCTCCCATGTGAGCTGCACACCCAGGAGTCTGTAGCAACGTAATTCGGAAGGCAGGCCAGATGCAAACACCTCTTCTCTAGAGTTGTGACGGCTCTTGTCCTGGCATTAATGGCTTTTCATGTTTGTGGACTCCCCAGTTATAAATGTTATCTCACAACGCGTTTAGCCATACGCTGCTTTAATGACTCCTAACGCTTACGTTTCCTTGTAAATGTGCTCAGAAGAGCAATTGGGTCGCTGCCCGGCGACCCTCAGCGGCTTCAAGAAACTTTACTAAGTTATTTCACAGGTTTTTCCCCACCGCGACGTCACTCACTGGAGCAGGAAGGGGCGCGGGGCACCCTCAGGCGGCCCCTTCCCTGCCCGGAGCCGAGCCCAGCTCCCCACACCAACCTCCCACCGCCCCGCCGGGCACGGGGACTTAACAATCGGAGGGGGGGATGCGGGGCGAGGGAACAGGCGAGCCGCGGTGCCCGTGGGGCGCGCCCGTCGCCGGGCGTTGTGGTCCGTGTGCGGGAGGCGGCGGGGCAGCCCTGCCCGGCAGAGTTCCGCCC